CGATGAAATTAATATAATGATTCGAAAATTCATCAAACACGAAGAACACTCTGAAATGCAAAATGCGGTCGAAATATTACATCTATCACAAACATGAAAACACGAGTGAACTTTTGGGGTTCAATGCCGATGTTTTCAGCATTGATGAAACTCACGAATCAACATCGCTTGTAAATATCAATAGGGTGGGTACCATTGGTAAGAACTGTGATGTTACAGCTCGGGAATATTCGAATGGTGACAGCACCTTTGAATTTCATATCGATGTAAAGCCGGATACAAACTGATCAGTACTAGTACTAGCCAGGACTTCAACAACCGCCACTTTTATTGGATGAAAAGAAATGGTAATCTGATCAATTTCAATAGTGGAAAAATTGTAGTCAAATTAGAATTGATATAGCTGTAACAATTGTATCTCCTCATATACTGATTCATAACATCGACCGTTATTAGTGTATCGAATCGATGCAATCTGATTCGTGAAAAACCGTCATGACCATTCAGAAAATTGAGCAAAAAGAAAGGTGAGTGATGACAAATTTCATCTATGGAAGAAATTATTATAAAACTGGAGCTGGAATTGTAACTCAGTAGTTGTTACTTCCTGACATAGAACAGATATGACCATTGATTAAACTTTACACTTCACATTGATTGTTTTTGAAAAAATGGAATTGGGCTTCGATAGCATGCAATTGTAGCAGCGGCAGCCCTTAAATCAGCCCACTGTATTTGATGGAGACTACGATCATACACAATTCGCCAAACGATCAAAACATAGGATAGGCGCTGTGATATGGCTGTCATCACCACAAGTGATGAATTGGAGAATTTTGAGAAGCCCTTGTTTGAGCATTTCCTCATTAGCCTCCATGAGTATACATATAAGCAATATGGTTCATCGTATTAATAATTTGGACGAAATCGGAATTCCTATAGACTTTCAATTTTTCATACCCGATATTGCAGACAGTTACATTTATATCGAGAAAAAGTTAATACCATCTCTGTTACCTATCCAATAGTGCCCACACCTTTCCATTCGACGAAATTCGCTTTGAAATGGGTGGCGAACAAGTGGCTGTTGTTAGAAAACTAGACAGAATCACTACGATGGAAACTATGGTATCATTTGGACAATCACAAACAAATTCATTACTAGCGATAGGATGGCGTCAGATATATATTCAGCAGTAAATTACATCTGTAGTATTCCATAAGTTTTGCTGAATATTACAAGTAAGAAATATTGCATGTAAAGCAAGAGCTCATTTTGATTAGAGCGCGCCCATTCAAAAATTCATTCATTGGGGAAGTCATGCAGAATTGGTAATCAGTAATATACTATTGAGAATCAGACACATTGTGCCGGAAGACCGCAAAAAACTGGAAATCTTGAACCATATCAATGAAAGTTGTGATAATCCTAAAGTAAAGGTGGCTCATCGCATGTGTCATCTTCAAGGATTGCCATCACTTCGTGATACAGCCTCAGATATATATGGGCCATGAAGGCCCATATATATCTGAGGAAGGAACAGCTTCGTAAAACCTCGATACATTATCATCGGCTCCCAAAACATCGACCAATCCGAGAGTATGACGAAGGGTGTAACAAAATTCATACATGCAAGTATATATAATACCTCTGAACTCTGAAGTAAACCCATCTGAGTGTTGGAATCTGGAACTCGAACTCATCAGCCTACTATGCATATAAAAATTGCCAACGCCACTACTACGATGGAGCTATGAGTGAATAAATTATAATAATTGGCAGCTTTCGCAATAATTCACTATTCATTATCAACTGCTCCCACCAACCCAATGCTATGAAGACATCCACTGTCGATACCAAAATAGAGTTTGAACTCGTGAATTCAAGCTTCAGGAACACACCAAAGTATATGCACTCATCCTTCATGATGCTGTTTTGTCTTATAATGCCCTCAATAGCTTTGTTCAGTTTGGATTCTGATTATATAGATATGAGATATTCGATACCGATAAATGAAATACTCAAAAGTTTTTCTGTTTCTTTTTCATTTACCATTAAACAAAAGATATAGGTATTTTTGATTTTGGCATGATTTCATACATATTGTATAAAACATATTTCGAATATTTCCAACGCCATTATCCGAAGCTACAATTCCTTCCTAACCCACATCATCTACTGTCTCCTGCGAGTTAACACCCCATTGTTCAAACTTTTTCTTGATATTCTGCGATAGGTAGATGTATATGTATGAAAGGATAGCCTGCAAACCTGCTTCGATCATCATATTGCAAAACTTATCCGAATTATCATTTCCACTCTTCGGGTGAGTATTGCATCCACATGTTCGTAGGAAGAAAAACTCTGGAAAAACTCAAATTGCATTCATCTGTTTGAAAATTATGTTGCAAAAAGCACTCACTTTGAATTTGACCATGTTTAAAGCGAGAGAAGTAATTCATATTCAACAATAATATACCATATTCATACTATTTACAGAGACATTGAAGTTGAATTCAATCTGAAATATCGAATTTGAGCGGGTTTGGGCACCGCGATAATCGTGGAACCTTTGACCAATATATGTAAAAAATTGAGTTGGCATGGGATGAATTCACTTCATGAATAATTTTTTCTGTGGAATGTTCTGTTTTGGAAGCTATGATTTGAGAGAAGTATTATTTTGCTCATCCAAATAAAACTACTTGAATGGATTCATCAAATTTCGTGAACAGCATTGATGTTTTTCTTTTATAACCTTAATATAAGTCTCTGCTTCATAGCCTCAGTTTGATGAATCATTACAGAACGGATCTTTCCAATAATTAATTTCAAATGATACATTCCGAATACAGTATAATTATGGTGTGGAAATATAAAATATATTCACCTGGAATGCTGAGTATACTCCTGACGTTGTACTCCTGTCACTTTGCAATACTACTTTCACTCATCTATTGGAATACTTCGGATTAGTCAAACTAAATGTGAAATGGTGATCCTCCGACCTTTTATAGAACTCGGTTATAGGAGGGGGTGTGCTTTTTTATCACAAGCTGGGTGTTCATGGTCGATCAATAAAACATGCAGGTCGTTAATTCATAATTTGGTGTTGCTGAAGGTCGTTTAGAGTCGAAGCAAAAAGTTAAGGAACCGTCTCGTCCACGCAGTTGAAGTTCGTTCAAGGTCGAATCCTTGAAACTTCAAAATAGCCGCGTGAAATGAGGTGTGAATCAAGGTTCTTTGAAGTCAAATCCAAAACACTAGTCCAAAGTAATCTTGTCTTCGTCATGTGAAGATAATATGGGTAGTGAATGAAGTCATTAGAAGTCAATACCAAAATACTACCTCAAAGTCACCTTGCCTGTTTCATGTGACGTGATTCAAGGTCGTGCGACGTATGAAGAGGTCATTTTAAAGTTGAAAGCGGTGGGGGAGGTTTCGAAATCGGCCTAAACCAACTACTTCCATCTCAGGTGGTTCGAAAGGTAATCAACCCATCAGGGACGGAGTTTTCTTGTTTTTCAAAAAAATGATAATTTCAAGTGAAAGTGCTTCAATTATCTACCAAAATATTTTACCATGGATTCATCGTAATTCAAATGTCTCTCGGGTACGTAATATTTCATAAATTTGGCTTGCAATTTTTCTACGAGTGGTCGCAATTTGTAGTACTCATCGAATTGATCGATATCATTATTATTTGCTAAATGGAACGATTTCCAAATTGTCAAAAACCGATCTCTTCTCATTGCCTCTATAACCAATTGGTTGCCCAAATCTCCAGCAGTATCCCAAAATAATTTTTTGCCTGGCATCCAGTTATATCCAGACAATATTAGGACTGCGAGAAAACACCGCATTTCCTCTCGAGTTATTTGGGGATTGGGATGATTTTTGAAAAGGGCATATCTTGTCGTCTCTTCCAAGAAAAAATCAATCATGTCATCATCAAAGAACAGTTCGAACATTTCGACAGGCGTGAAAGTTTTGAAATTCTCATAATTTCCCTCAGGAAATTCTTTCGCCGTCATTATAAGATCACCTTCGATCCATTCAATTTTGTCATAATCAATTTTTTCTGCTTGCGCGAAAACAGTTTCTTCTTGATTATTTCCTTCTACAAAATTTTCGCGAGAGTAATTGGTTCGTCATCTTCGAGGAAATCGTTTTGAAAAACTTCTAACTGAGCGGATGCCTTCAGTTGATTTCTTGACAAATTGTCAACAAGCCCTCCTTCATCTTCTTCGCCAGAATCTTCATCAGTCAATTCATTCACATCTGGCGGTTCTATAAAGATGTTTCGAACATCGAGGTCGTCTGAATAAGCCATTTGTAATGCTTCTTCCAGAGTTAACCCATCTCTAACAACAAAAAGGAACATCATATAAACATGCAGCCTGTGAAGCCTAGCTAGCATTGCCATATGGTAATTCTGAGGTTAGGAATCAACTAAATATCTAAGCGGATTATTTCAGTCAAAAGTGCTATTTGTATGGAAAATCATCATTTATTTAGATTTGCATGCTACTATAGACCATAACAGAAGATATTTTGTTGTACCTACATGAAGTTTATATCCATTTTGCAGTCAGCAAATATAACACGCTAGAATATTCAATCACACTAAGGGAAAGAAGCATGCCAGAGTCATCTACGCCTATTTAGAAGTAACGTAAACAATTCGTGAACTGCACTATAGCAGAAAACTGTAAAAATGGATTATGTTCTTTTCAAAAAACAGTATAGATGTCAGGTAGATAAGCATTGCCATATGGCAACGCCAGTCTGTTATGGGTTAACATTGCCTACCCAAAACAAAAACAAAAGGCTAATGATTTCGAGATTTGATGAAATTGATATTCGAAAAAAGTATCTCATGCCAACACAACACACATCTCTACGAACCTTCATCTAATAGCAATTTCTGAAGTCGTGAATATAAACAATCATTTCAATAGTATGAGTTCAATACCGATAACATTTATTTTTTTCACAGGGCAAGTGGGCTTTTTCATCCTCACCATATTAATTTCGGTAGTCAATACCTGTAAGTAATAGTTTCACTACGATTCGTATAAATAGAAGTGAATTCATGCAAAAGTTATGTTTTATTTTCATGATGATGTTAAAAAGTTCCAATGTATCAACTCATACAATATTTTTCTTTTAGTTTTTTCAATCACATTTTCAATTAGTAACTACACTTTGATGGCGAGATTTCCTCCAGAATATATAAAAATTCAGACTTATGGTTCTTCTATGTCGGGTATCATCAGTGCACTATTACAAATATGCTGCCTTGTCATTGGAGGAGGTTCAATTCAAGTTGCACTGATTTATTATCTGTGTGGAACAGCAGTTCTGGTGACAGCTGCAATCATGATTTATCTTACCAAATATTCACCTCTATACCAGTATTATATGGAAGGTATTGAAGAGGAAACCAATAAACCAATGCCTTCGTACAGTCAAAGCATATATCACTGATGCTGTCTGCCGCAGTAGTAGACGAAACGTTTGGTACTTCATATTCCACTCGAACATGGTCAAATCAGTTTTCGCAATGGGAAGTAGCATTTTTGGGACACATCATCACTTCAGAAGGAATTCGACCAAATCCCCAAAAAATTGAGGCAAACTTAAAGTATCCTATACCCCGAACAACCAAAGAAATCAAAGGATTCCTAGGACTCCTGGGATACTAGGATACTATAGAAAATTCATCAAGGACTTCGCAAAAATAACCAAACCACTTACCTCCTGTCTTAGGAAAAACCAGAAAATTGAGCATATACCGAAATTCATAGAATGTTTCAAAACATGCAAAAATCTTCTAGTAAACGAACCGCTTCTACAATATCCCGACTTCACAAAACCATTCAATCTCACGAAGGATGCCAGCAATTTTGCTATAGGTGCTATCCTATCGCAAGGACCTGTTGGAAAGGACAAACCAATTGCATATGCCTTTCGTACGTTGAACGAAAGCGAACAAAATAATACAACCATAGAAAAAGAAATGCATGCTATGATGTGGGCGACTAAGCACTTTGGACCGTACCTATTTGGCCAAATATTCAAAGTTTTATCCGATCACCGCCCTCTACAATGGCTTTTCTCTTTGAAAGATCCAAATTCCAAACTTGTGAGATGGAGATTGAAGTTAGAAGAATTCGACTATGAAGTCTTTTACAAGAAAGGAAAAAGCAATACGAACGCTGATGCCCTTTCAAGAATAGAAGTACACACCAAAGAAGCCTTCAGTTTGAAAGAATACATAGAAAATTTCAACAAAGAACTTGAAGAAAATGCTTCGTTATACAACAATGCACCATCTGAAAATACCGTTACCGACCAATCTCAAAGAAGAATCAGCGAAGACACCTTCGCTACTGACACTGCAGACGAAAATTCCGACCGTCTTCAACAGAAAAGAACATCATCAACCGATACAGCTGACGAAAATCTCGACCTCGACTAACCAAAAAGGACATCATCAACTGACACAGCTGACGAAAATCCCGACCAGCCTGAACAAAAAAAAACGTCGTCAACGGATACAGCTGGTAAAGTTATAAATGACCTTAACCAACCTGAAAACGAAGGAAGTAACAGAACCATACACACAACTCAAGAAGAACCGGCATTCACAATTCCAATATCAGAAAAGCCTCTCAATTATTACAATAACCAGATAAAAATGACATTTGTCCATTATAACCCAGGGCTAATCTGTATAGAACAAGCGTTCGCAAATAAAAAAAGAATTCATGTTCAAATTGGTATGAATGCAAAAGAAGAAAATATTGTGAAATTCTTCAAGGACTATATTCCACCAAAAGTCAAACATGCTGTATATTTCGACCCAGATACCCAATATAAGTCAACCTGCAATATTCTTTAGAAAATTTTCAAAAACACTGCCTTCGATTTTGTAAAATGCAACGAAATCTTGGAAGATGTTAACAACGAAGATCAACAACAAATAATAATTCGAAACTACCACGAAAATAAGTCAAATCATCGTGGAATAAACGAAACTGAATTGCGAGTACAGAGAAAATATTACTGGCCAACTTTGAAAAAAGACATTGAAATTATGACAGAAACCCACCAAAACCCACAATCAAATGGAATGATTGAACGTTTTCACTCGACCATTATAGAACATTTACGATTATTATTGCAAAATAAGAAACAGCTGAACATCAAGGAACAAATGCTCTATGCACTATTAGGCTATAATAACACAATCCATTCAGTAATGGGACAAAAGCCCATCGATGTTTTCCTTCGACAGTAAGGACCCCTTTAATATCGACATCGAAAGGATTCTACTGAACAACTACATGCAACAACATCGAGATAAAACAAAAGCTGTCTACCAAAAAATCAATGAAAAAGCTGTCAAACTGTGCAGAGACCATGCAAGAAGATCAACCCTGGATTCCTTTGCCAAATTCCAATCATTCGAGGCGACATTCAGCCACGAGATTGCATTTCCCAAATTTTACACATCTCTGAAGATGAAGCCAGATGCCAACAAGTTCCGGTTTCAATAAAGGGTACCCTGATAGAGGAAATCACACCAGCTCACTATGTTGGTATATTTCCAAGGCCAACAAAAATATCTACTGAGTGTTCCACTCTCGGAATGCAGGAATTGCACGGCACCTACCTTATAGAAGTGCCTCCAGAATGCGGATTTGAGACACCCGAAGCCAACTACATCAATTCCAAGGGCTTCACATACGAGCAGCCCCTAGCCTTGCCAAAAGTCCGAACAATTCCAATACCACGTGATAAGAAGATGCTACCTATCCAGCTAGAAAAAATCCCCCTAGATGAACTTCACAAAATTCACGAAAAAAGCCTACTGCAACCCCTAGGTTTTGAGGATATTCCAGTCGACAGTACACACTTTTGGACTACCCCTGTATTCATAATTGCTACAGCGGTAATTGAAATTTTGGTATTCAAATTCCGTCACACCCTACGATGCCCGAAGATCTCTGAAACACCACCAGTACCAGCTACCAGGACTCAAGTTTTATTCCACCCTCATAAAACTTCTTCAGGGGATGGATAAGTTACAATCTGAATCCATGGAGAATCGACAAGGTTCATGATGGTTCAGCGAAACTCGACACCACTAACGAAGATGAACTTGCATTTTTATTCCTATGAGAATTTTCATTTTTATATTCGGTCTGACTTGATACCTCCTTATTGTAACACGTGTTTTTGAATAAAATAAACTTTTTAGGAACTTATTTTTCGAAAACCAACTCTCAACTCTCACAAAAATATTTTTGTCGATCCATAGATAATTAAACAGCTTCTCAAACATACTGAAAAGGCTTCTGATAAGGAAATCAAAACTATTTCTCTCTAAAATATCAACTATGAAGTACTCACTACCTGATGTGGCGAACACTTTCATCTTAAAATTTACGCAATCATTTCCAAGTGAAAATATTGGCAATCTGTTAGATTGTCAATATTTTCAACGTTTTGTTAAAATGTTGAAAACGTTGAAAATACAACACTCAGCAAAAAAAACTCTACGCGGAGGATGAGAATGGTGCTTTTCATTCCCATGGAAATTTCACCCACTTTGAGTAAGATCTTTCGAATTATCCCAAATCAGTTTAAGATGCCTTCCTTGCAAATGCATACAGAACATACTAATTGATAACCTACCTACTTTTTTTGGTTTTATGTACTGAAGTATATAAACATAAAAAAAATCGACTGTTGATCTTATTTATCTATCTTTACTTACTGCATTTTGAAGTGACTGACCTCAAATTGTGTTAGATTTGAGATTTTTCTATGATTATATGTTGCCGAAGAGAAAGCCCTTTCGGAACAGTTATTTTCGAAACTCGTGTCTGATCTGTATTTTGATGGTAAAGTCCCACTACCATCCAAAATAGATTACGATTTGAAAACAGCCAAATACTTTGAGAAACATTATACTGAATAATGAAAATACGTTCCCAACAATATGATAAATAATATTGACTCACCATATAATAGTTTGTATAGGTATTATTGATGAATCATTTTATTTTTGAATTTATTCATATTTACAGAAAAATTTTTCATGCCTGTGTCCACTTTCCTTCTGAAAGAAATATCAGGCCTGCTGGGAGGAATTTGTGCAGCTCCAATTATGACGGTGAGTACATATTTCTTGAGTCTTAGGGAATTCCTAGGTTTTGAATGGGGTTAAATACGACCCGATTCTGATGGAGGTAACAATTTCTCTTTCAGTTTTCAATATTGAAATTTGTTTGTTGATATCAGCTGGTGATGCCTATAATTAGAAAAAAGAATTAAAATTCAACAAGAAATTACTGATTCATGTTCAGGTTAATCCCTGGTTAACAGAAACGCAACGTTCTTTATGAAATGAATGAAATATACGGACTGACTTTTTTTATCTCTCGGCAGGAGAAAATTAAAAAATTGAATTCTACATGTAAAATAATGTTTAATATTTTCATTCCGCGATTTAACCCATCAGGAAGGAAAAACTAGAGAAAATATTCAAATCGTTTCAATTTGTTTTTTCAAATAACAATTTTTTTTTTCATGCAAATCTAATTCGTTCGACTTATTCCTTTCACTACATACCATATCGTTGATTGCTGTGTTGTGTTAGCAGTTTTCCTGTTTGGCCCACCTTATTTTTTATTCATAGAACCAATTTCCCAGTAAAACTCATTCACTTCAGATATATATGTGAATAAGCTCCACTATCAATATTCCTCCTGTTGACTTTCTCAGCAGCTCTCGGTAATTTCCTAATACCTACATCATCATCCAATCATATTAATTGATACACTCTCGAACATTCGAATGATGCGTCAGAAACAACTAGCATCAAATAAAAATTTGGGTCTGCTCTCCAACGATAATTCTAATTAAGAAACCTTTAGCATATGCATCTTGTACCTATCAAAAAATCATATGTCTTAGGAGATAAACTTTTATGTACTTTCAATTGATTAGAAAATTTCATAAGAAATATTAGTTTTATAATAACAACACAATTGTTAGTTGATACCAAAAACTGTGATTGCTATAAACTGTGATCGGTTTGGGTAAGATTACTCTAGAGATTGAACTTATTAGTCGTATTCGAATTGAAAAATCGAAATATTTCAAGTATTATATTTGGTTGATGATCACTTGTTTCGTGAGTGAACTGAAGATTCTTTCTAGACATCATTCAATTTTATTTGATAATTCTTCTTTTGGAGTTATTTGTCATTATGTACCAAATGTATTGAATTGCTGCTTGCGACTTTGTTCACATGAAAATCGGTTTTTGAATTCAACCAAATCTACTGACAGCACAATGTAATTCATTTGATATGTAGGAATATCCATTTACTATAACTAGAAATATAGTCCATGAAAATTTTATTCAAATCACCAGAATAGCATTTTCAAGATTTTAGTGTCAAGAAATGGTTTACTCTTTTCGTTAAATTGACAGAACTCTTTTCATTTAGGAACCGCTTGAAGTAAGTCAAACACTCTCGAGAGAAACTTACTGAGTACAATATAAAAAAGGATTTTTCCACAAAACGAACTCTCTTTCGAGTAGTTTCGTTCTCAGAAACAAAAAATTTTTTTCAGTTTCGAAAACATAGTCGAAACTCGATTTCCACCAAAAAGATAAAAACTAGTCTTAGTCGCGTGTTTTGTTGTGAACTGTTTTCTATTTTTTCCACTACACGAACAGCGATTGAATTGCTGCATCCTTCATCTAATGACCTCCTAATTGCTTCAAACTTTTGACAACTGTCAATATTTATAATTCCTATGAATGATAGAGCTGTTCCTGCTATTCTTCCTGCATAAGGAATTTGAATTTGAAACATAATGAATGAACTATAAATTGATTCGTCTCTTGACAACTGCCAATGTTTCTATTTCATATGAATGATACTGCTATTCCCGCTATTCTCTCCTTGTCGTCTGTAGGCTGAAGAACATGACAAGTTCGAATGAATTATCTCCCTGCTTTGCAGCAGAATTCCGTCAACACCAATCTTGGATGTATCGGTATGAACCCCATTCCTGCTGTACTGTCGTGAAATGCCAAATCAAGTCTCATTATCTACAGATTCTTCAGAGTTTCGAATACTGTGTTATGCTCTTCTGTCCACTACAAGAGGTTGTAGTGGACAGAACTACTCAATAAGGGATGTTAATGGTCGAGTAATCACTATGGATCCTCCAAATAGGATCCTCCCTAGGAGCTGTCTTACTGAATTCACGTTCGCAGGCCAGTTTCTAAATTTTCATCGTATTTTATATTCTAGATACTATAAGCTCTTCCAAAAAAGTCACATATCTTGTCGTGTATTGTTGAATGAAACAGACAGATATTTGTCGAAAAGTCGTGTCTCTTAGCGGCAGCTTCGTCTGCGGCCAAGTCCTGTCCAAAATTGACTTGGGACACGAAACTCTGGTTTTCTCTCAACCATGTTTCTGGCATGCTAGCCCTGGACATAGTGGCTAATTGTTCGAGTTCCTTTTGTCGAATCAGCTCCAATCTGAGTGGTAGTTCTCTCTCGTGCTCGGCCTTCTCCAACTGCTCCTATGCCTTGTTGATATCCGATGTCATCTTGCCCTCTTTCGGTATGTACAGACGTTGGTTGTTCACCCTCATTTTTGACTCTAACGTGAAAAGCGATATCTCTAGGTTGACTTTCTCTACGAACTTGAGTGTCTTCTCAACGAAGTGGTAGTTGTGGAACTGACCCAATTGTCTTTGCAGGCCAACTAGACCATTGACGAATTCCTTGTCGCCAAGAACTTGAATAGTAACTTCAATCCAGGCCAGCAAGTCGCTAGTCAGCGACGCGTGCTCGTTGATCATACTATATTTCTCCATGGCGATGATGACCACTTCCATATCAAAACGTACTTTTTCGACATACAGTACTTGCTCAAATAGAAATTATTCCTCGAAGGTTGAAATCTTCTCACACAAAATCAATGGAATATTTTCGAATAGCCAAGCGGCTTTGAAAGCACTTAGCACTCACCGACGTTCAAGTTGATAGTGAAGTGCCCATAAGACTATCCTCTTTAAAAATACTCAGCAAACTGCCCCGCATTTCTGATGATAATGACCTGAAACCTGTTGACTCTTGCTTGAGGAAGGGTGCTACAGAACCAGAAATTGACAAGGATTGGGGTATTACCAAACGAAAACTGAAGTATTTATATATTCTTCAAAGTATGTTTTCAAACAATTGCTAGATTGCAGCTGGGTTGAAACGCATATTTGCAATTGAAGTTGAATTCTATTGTCGCCTTCGTAGAAGAGACCCATGGTTACCCATAGGGGTGAAATATATCGCTGACCCCGTTGATTCACATTCCAATACAAGAATATCGAAACTTCACTCTATTGCCATTCAGAACTGGAAATTTGGAAGTGAACTTCATTTCTGCAATTGGAGTTTAGGCCCATCATAGCTTTTGACATCATCAGCAACTCATGGTTGCTAGTGCCACTATATTTCTAAATCCTCAACCTATTGAATCACATTCATCATCACTTCTGGAAACAGGTACCATTGATATCACTCTAAATGATCTCCACGAGACATCTACTCTCGTCAAACAAAACTTATCATCGCTTAAGAACCGTACTATAAGGTTGGAATGTATTTCTGCCTCTAGAATTGGGATCCATCTCTTTCATCGAAGTTGCAGTTGAAATCAATCTCTGCTTTTGAGATTGGGATCCATCACTGCATTAGAGTGAGGTTTACTCTTCTTGGACTAGAATACCTGAATTCATCAGAGACTTTGAGGCTCGAATCTGCCTACCTTTTTGATTTGAGTGCATCAATGCCTTGAGAGCAGAACTTCGTCTCTGCCTTCATGCCAGAAAATATAGACCAGAAATTCATTGTTGAAATCTATCGGTTGAAATCTATCGAAGACTTCGAACCTGAAAATCTAGTCTTGAGATCTAGTGCTGCTTTTGAGTCTCATTTCCATCTCGTTCTTTGTGATTGTTTTGATCTTAATACATATCGTAATGTTGTAGCCACTGCACAATAAAATAACACATGATTCGGAAATCATCAATACTCAATTCAGTATCCATATACACACTGTATGACATTGATCCCAATGCTAATCGTAATATTGTACATACTGTACAATGAAATAATATATGATTCAGTCTCCATCAATACTGAACTCATTATTCATTTCAGACATTCTGTATGTCTTTGATCTCAATGCAAATTTTAATATTGTACACACTATACAATAAAATATCATATGATTCGAAAATCTTCAAAACTGAATTCAGTATTCATTTCATAAACTCTGTATGTCATTGACCTCCATGCGAATCGTAATATTGTACATACTGTACAATACAATATCATAATATGAGGAAATTATCAATACTGAACTCAGAAATCATTTCATACACTCTGTATGTCATTGATTTCAATGCAAATCGTAATATTGTACACACTCTAAAATAAAATATCATGTGATTCGGAAATCATCAATACTGAACTCAGTATTCATTTCATACACTCTGTAAGACATTGATCACAATGCAAATCGTAATATTCTACACACTGTACAATAAAACAAGATATCATTCAGAAATCACCAATACTTCACTCAGTATTTATTTCATACACTTTGTATGACATTGATCTCAATGCTAATCGTAATATTGTACACACTGTACAATAAAATAACGTAAAAATGAGTTATTATCAATACTGGACTCAGTATTTATTCAATACACTCTGTATGATATTAATCTCAATACCTATTGAAATATTGTACACACTGTACAATAAAATAACATAAAAATAAGTTATTATCAATACTGGACCCAGTATTTATTCAATACACTCTGTATAACATTGATTTCAATACCTATTAAAATATTGTACACACTGTACAATAAAATATAATTAAAAAAAATATTTTTTTTTTCACTTAATTGTTTATAACTTTTGTAATTTTTATCGGCGCGTTTTCGTACCTTTCCTTAAACTTTCTAGGCAAAAATACGAATCGAATGAAACCTTGGTCGTAATTTTTGGACAGGGCTGAAAAATGTTACAAAAAAAGTACATGTGAACTAGACTAATGCTGACATTCACCATCATAACACTAGAAACTCTGACAAGATCAGACTTCCTAGATATAAGCTTTCTATTTCACAAGAAAATTCTTCAGATTTTAGTCTCAACAATGCACTGCCTCATCAAATCAAAACGATGAGTGTGAATAAGTTTAAACGAATCATCAAATCGTATTTGCTAAAAAACAGTTTTTACTCAATCAATGAGTAGGTACTTGGAAGATATTCAAGGTGTCCTTTAGCCTCTGAGAACATACTTACCGTTTATGTACTGTTTGTTCAACTGTTTCTTATATTTTTCTTATATTTTTGTATGTTTATGTGATGTGATATTTTGCAATTACTTTTGAAAGTGTAGTAGTGTATTACTAAATAGTTTACTCGATATCTTCTGAGACCAAATGACTTGCTATGAATATGCATATGTATTTGATATAGTCAAATAAACTGTCGATCTATCTATCTCTGTCTTTCGATTCTTGAGTTTTTGAGACCATTCATAGTCAACGTATTCAAAAAACATTTTATTGTGAGATTTTCACTAAACAATTTTACAAAAACGCAACACGTGTTCCGCCATACAATGGTTTTTGCGGGCGTGTCTTTACTAACAATATTCTACATATTCAATGCTTAATATATCTAGTTTTACAATTAGAAGTAGGTACCTGACTCTTACCTAAGTTTGTAATGAATTGAATCATCTTAGCTTATCCCCCAATTTTAACATCTGGAAAATATTCTATATTCACCCAATTGAACTGAATTTTGCATATAAAATTATTATAAGTATAGTTCAGTACTCAATTTCCACTCCTGATATCAATTAAATGAATATGGTACCATCTCAAGTCCAATATAAAATGGTTCTGCACTACTTTAATTGCTGTTTATTTGTCGTATGTCCAGTGTATTTGTTTAAAAATATATTTTCCGATGATTATCTAAAAGTTATTATACCAAAAATAACTGGTAATTGAAATATGCCACAGATATCAGACTCTATCGATCCACTACAAACTTACAGAGCTATTAAAACTTTGAGAGCTAATTCTGAGAAATGCCCAATTTGGACATATGCTACTTCTGTTCCAGACCGACGATCTGTAAATTGCTTGTTCTGATTATGTTTTATAAATGAAAAATTAAATCTTATTATTGTTTGATATAAGCAACAATACAATAAATCAATAAAAATAGTCTGCCTATATTGAGCTGATGATCGAAATTCATACTCATCACAGATTGATACTTTGAATGAAGTGATAATGTCGCTGACCGTTTCCACATAGCAAACTCAAAAATCTCAGACAAAACATCGAAAGCGAAATGAAAATACTGATAGTGAAACTGTCAATAAAGACCAAAATTTGAATGATGTCGATCACACTGTTCATTCCAACAAGGAACAAAGGTCAGTATTACATTTTCTAAATGGAACAAATATGAACAATCAATTTTCAAAAAAAAAACGATTCCATTTTCAATTATCAAATTAAAAGAAATAATTGATTACGTGAACACTTATATATCAACCCTAAAATTTAATATTAACTATATTTTGGAAATTCTAAAATTTACGTATAAGAATTCTTCCTTACTATTCAAAATTTCCATTCTAGAAACTCAAAAAATTCATAGAAATACCCAATAATATCACCAAGAAAAGCGATATGGAGAAAATGATCCAAAAATCCCATGAAGAAAAAACGATTCACAGAGAAATTGACGAAACACGTAAGCCTATAGAATGATACGCCAATGAATGCCAAGTCTGCCAGCAGAATGAATATGAATGTCAACTTGTGAAAATTCAAATGAACGTCCCTCATAGCGAGATAAAATTGTTATATGCAATACTTGCTTACAAGCATTCCTTGCATTTTATTCCAAATTAAAAACCAATAAACTTCATCAACGGTCCTATTGCCAGTAATGATCCATTCCGTTTAGAAATAGAAAAAGTTATCACAATATTATCACAATATTAATGACCACAAAGAACTCGCAAAGTTAATATATTCTATATATGTTTATAATTATTGTTAGATTCAACAGGAGGTACATTGCTGATATCTTCAATTTGGAAACATCCTGATGAACTTATTTCAGATAATGGGTGGATTTTTCATACGAGATCATCTCTTGCTGAGGGAGTTTCAATGCATTGATATGAGAAAAACACTGAAATATCACATCTAATCAATTTCTTTCAGTTTTCATCCAAATAAGCTACAATATAATTATAAATAGAAATATTGATTATCAGAAATACCACAAAGCGTAAAATTAGGTGAATATCTCATGAATCTAGGATACTTTTTCGATGGAAAAGTATCGTTAATATCACGTTATTAGTAGAAATATCAAATTCCATTTTTTTGTTTCAGCGTAAGAATGCTAAATGGTTCATCCTTCTCAATGTGTTGCAAGCTTATGGATTCGGTATACTCATTCCCTTATGTAATGCCAAACCTAGAAGTCACCTACCAGTTCTATTTCCTCATGATTGGCAATATATGTCATTGATGACTGTTAACGGTTTCATTATGGGTTACTGTACAACTGTTATATATCTCAGTATGTCAAAGTAAGTTGAAATAAACTTTATCATGTGAGTAGAGTACCATAATGATATTATTTCAATGTACTTCAAAAATCATTGAAAACTGGCTAGTGCAGACATTTTCCGTTCTTTTTACATGTGTTCCATAAAAAAATCAGGAATATGAAGGCAAATGAGTAACGAACGGATGATATTCTTGTCGTTAAACACATTAAAAATAACATTTACACAAATATGTGCTCGATTATATTTGTAATATGTCACCTGAAATCCTTACATATGACCATCTTCGATAAAACCAAATATGTACTAGGTGATTTAGAGGGTCTTGAAGTCTTAGATATCACATAACGTTCAGTACAAAGTCATAACCTAGTAATGCATTATCATTTCACACATGTCATACCTTCACATGTGAAGCTTGATATATATATATATATATATATGTCATATGTCAAGCTTTCGGTATATTCCACACCTTCGTCAGGACAACTACAATAATGAGACTATATATATTGTAAAAAACATCTAAGAGAAGTTACTTATGTGAGAATAAAATATAAAATGGTTCAAAAACAGATAGAAAAAACATGAAATGATGACAGTTGTTCAAAATTTGACTGACAATGTCGAGTGAGAAAATTCTGAATAATACTCAAATTATCTTTTATCGTATCAATTTTCTTTATCTTATTTCAGTAGGTATGTGTGAATTTTGCTGAGACTATCAATATCAGTTCTTTTATTCATTCAATGTTCTTCGTTATTGATATGTATCATTTCCAAAAATATTTTTTTAGTTGTATTGATTTCTCTATCTAAAATATTTGGGTTTTCAAAATTGATTTTATGATCTTCCGAATCAACATATTCTGTTAATGCACAAGAATAAACATTTCGTCTACAGTCGCTTTTATGAGAAGTGATGCGACTACTTAGAGGTCTAGATGTTTGTGCTATATATGTTTTAGAACAATCGATACAAGAAATTTTGTATACTTGATTTGATTTATGTTTAATTGAAATTGGAGCTTTCAGTTTACTGTATAATTTAGATACAGTAGTGACATTTGTTTTGGATTTGGGGTAGGGAGGGTGAGTGTAAGCCCACGCACTTAGGCCACATGTGACTCATTGTACATCCTCCCGAGGAGGAGACGAAATATTGATATTATCCTCCTCTCGAGGAGGAGACGAAATATTGATATTGTGTTTATTCGGAGAAACACTGAATTTGGGGCCAAAGGATAAAAAACTCTGTATATTATTAAAATCTCAACTGATATCAATTTTCCTAATGATATACAGAATTTTCTATCCCTTGGCCCTAAATTCAGTGTTTCTCCGAATAAACATAATATTAATATTTCGTCCCTATTAGCAGATTTGGACATGTACTTGTTTATGGTCGTTTACCTTCAGTTTCTGGTACACTCTCACAGAAAGGTCAAATTCATCTATCGCACTCCTTTTGGTAGGACTTTTGGTTGAAGAAGTGATCGGTACGTTGCCGGAACAGAACACCTATTTTTATGAAATAAGTTTATCATTTGCACGTGTTATTAAATGCCATATTCGCCCAAGGTGATTTGACGAAACAGACTTGATGAATGACTACAAGATGTAGCTTTAACAAGATGACCGTTATCAATAGTCAAAGTTTGGAAGTACGTGTTGGATTACCCGTTGAATAAAAACCAACCAACCAAATTGCCGAGTGACGACTGATGTATGATAAAGTTGCGGCAAGATAAATCGAAACATGTTAATCGTGATTCAGTACACATATCAGCAACTTTTGATGCTTTATAAAGCTCAGATCAGACATTTTTCTGGGTTTTGTTCTCATGTGTGGAGCTCTGCTCCCGAACATACCCTGAAGTTGCTGGATTCCATACAGAAAAGAGTCATCCGCCTGATTGGAGACGCGAACATCACGTGCAACCTTGATAGTCTGGAAAAGCGAAGGAGGGTTTGAGATTTGTGTCCCATCTATAGATACTTTCACTAAGAGCGTTACGTATCAGAAATACTCGACGGACTGTGGCTACTCATCATTTTAAGGTTCAACTCAGTACATTTCGAACTTCATTGTTTTTAAAGTCTTTCATCTGGAGAACTGCGTTTATGTGGGATAAACTTCATGAGAACGTGTTTCCAAATGGATTTAATATCCCGTAATTCGAATCCAATGTGAATCACTACTTTCGCACAGGTACCGCTCTGAGAGCGCCTTAAGGATTTTTCTGTAATGCTTGTGTTTTGTCCTCCTTTTGAAGAGGCATTCAAAATTCAGTTTTCGAAATCAGAATGGTTCTGTGTTCTGTTTCAGTGTGTTTCAATAATAGTGAAGACAAAATTAAAACTTTTTTTGGTGTGACGTTTCCTCAAAAATTTCCTAAAGAATTAGATACATACATTGTCAGTGTCTAAATTTTCTAAAAGCTCATAGTGTGGACTATTCTGGGATAGTCCTATGTACAAAGTGTTTTGTTAGAAAAAATTGAGAATAAGTGATCCCGAATTTTATTCAACCCTGTAGAGAGAAAGCAACGTTAGGTAAACTCATGGAGATGAGGTAAAAATACACTATCGTCAAGTATATTTGATTTCTCCATTTAATTTGATATAATAGAATATATTTGATGTTGAATGGAGTCATTTTCTGACATAAATTTCACTTTAACTTGCGAAACAACCGGTATGAACCCAAACAATCTTATATTTTTGAAGAACATTTTGCCCAAGGAATTGAATCAAGTCAAAATATCTGAAGTATTCTGTTTGATATATTGGTAATGGTTATTGAAATGTAGCTTCCAATGATCTACAACTTTTTCGGAACATTTTTTTGTATATCTAATAGGGTCAGGCTTCAATTGCACGCGTCTATAGTCTTATGTACGTTCCTTCGATTACTACTTCCAATGCACCTCCCGACGAATGAATGTCAGGAGAGAGCATCGAGCGCCGACTAATTCTTTATATTATGAACGGACTGAACCGTTACTTCATGAAAATAATAACACTATCCGTGATAATGATTAAATGTGACAGATTAACGTCACGATATGTGGTTATAAGTGGAATGGGGGAATTTTAAATGTAGAGAAAAGACAGCCGGCATGATTGATTAATTCACAAAAAAAAAACGTCGGGGGTGCCGACCCGACGTGGAGATTGTGAGGGGTCATGCCGGTGTGCTACAAAATGTAGATGTGAGAAAAGAACAAATATGTCGGCATTCGAAGAAAAAGCGCGGAGCCTTTTCTTCCTTGATAATAGTCGAAGTGTGACGTGTTCTTTGTAGAAAAGTCGATAAAAAGTTGGAGGAAGAAACGTTCACAACATTGAAACTGTAATGCGTTTTTTGACCCGTGATCAAGTTGGCATCATCAAGAGATGAAATATAGTTCAAAGAGAAAACCCCTCACTTAAACATAAGAACGGTCGTTATTTCCAAACACCAAAACTGTAACACTGTTTTGATGCATGCGTGTGAAAGAGACGCGCTTGTGTCAACCACTATTTTAAACTCATCATGAAATGAACTGGAGAATATTATTTTGCCAGCTTGTGTCGCATAATGATGGTACGTCAACTTGTGATTCGTGGCTCATACATGTTAGACATTATTTTCTCGAAAAATTAGGTTTTTCCAAATCTTGTTGTTAACAAACTTTATTAAATCAGTCGAAAATTACTCGAGTTGTTTTGAGAAAACTTATAATGAAATAATTGGAAAACTTTTCACAATAAGATTGAAGTCACTTCGGGTGAACAATGAAAAATTCACAATGGTTATACATGCTCCATCAATGGATGTTCCACCAAGATGTCAACAAAATGTCAATGCAATGCAAATCTATGAAGCGTTTACAGAATGTTGACGTTCTGTTGGTGCTTGTTGAAGCTTCATCGATGTCAAAGTGGAGTCGAAGTGTCTCGTCGGTACTTTGTCGGACTCAATGCTCTAAAAGATAATGGAAATGTTCTACGTATTCAACCGACTGTTATTGAAGATGATCGATGAGATGGCGACTGGGGATATGAAAACTGAATGACTTGTGTTAAACCAACCAACAACGGTAATATAAGGAGTGAAATCAATAATGGTTTACATGGCTTGTATTTGTAATTATTTCAATTGTTGAAATCATATTGGAAGAGAAAATTCGAATCTATATGTAGATATAATTTATTGAAGGAATAACAAAAGTTATACATTTTCATTGAGAAAAATATTGATATATGCTTCAGAACCAGCAGAAAAGGCTCTTCGTATATCAGGAAATGAGGATTGTATCGTGATATTCAAATATGAAAAAACAGTGATCATATTATTTAGCATATCGTTATGAATGAAAATTACTTCAACCTTGATAAAAGTGAGGAAAGTAGGTATATATTAGTTTCAAAAATATTTGAAGTAGTTGAAGGATCACTGAGGTTATTGATGAACTATGAATATCCTCAGATATGATTATACTCTATATGAAATCTAGAAAGTAATTATGTTCTCAACGTAATGATATTACCAAGATTATTATCGTCATAATCATTTTAACCTGAGAAAACTCGCAATATATTGTATGTGATGAAGAAGAAACCATTGCAAGTGAAAAGTTCAGTTGTGAAGGGAATATGATTCGTTTTCGTTTCTGAAGCTATCATTGTATAAACTATCCTATCCGTCAATATTATATAGACCCTCCAAGTTAACTACTTTGTCTTAGGTAAAAAAGGAATTTGAGTTCAACATCTATACTCCTAATATAAACGAATATTTATGTCAGCTAATTAATGAATTGTTGATGATGAATTCCTAGCTCTAGTGTCCATTTTCAAAAACTTTTCAAGGATATTTTGATTTTCATGATTCGAAATCAGACGATTCCAAGTGAAAAGTGACCAATCCATTGCAGATTTCGACTCTACTCGAAGTGAGGAATCCGAATTCATCATTAGTTTTTTCCTTTCTCGATTTTTATAAGCCGGAACTGCATCTCTGTATCTTCCAAAATAACACAATTATCATGGGGTTTAAGAGGCATACGTCGTCATGGAACATACGCCGTCATTGGTGTGCCAAAAGTATCTGATTTTAAACTGTTCGGATTTTAGATATTGTTTTTCCTCTAATGATAGATTAAGGTGGCCATTGTTATTTCTCCCAACGATTGGCCAACGATGTTGATTTGCTACTGCGCATGCGGCCATAGAAGTTACTTTGTTCACGTTTGAAAGATTACATTTTATCGCTCGAAGAATTGACAATACCTGTGTAATCGCTATTGCTGACTTCTCTTCTATTAGGATGAAACAATTATTCTTGGGCACACAATCACGAATGTCATAATCTAAATTGACTCACAATGACAACGGTCATAACCTAACGATTCGAAATTCGTCAATTTGTTCAACTTTTTCCTCAGTTTTGTAAATGCCTCCTCAATCAGTTTGTTATTTCAAATGGGGGCGAATCTAATGGAATAAAAATCATGAAAAATGGTTTGAAGGTTTTTGTGATATGAACGATGTAAGTAACATGATTTTGCAACTTTTTTTATACAGGGTACAGCACGATGACGGTCGATTAACCGTATTATGGGAAATAATAGGATTCATATACTAAAAGACAATGACATTTTCTCAACACTTCTAATTATACTAAAAGTGTTGGATGTACAACAAGAGATATATGCTAACAATGCTATGGAAACAAATGAATGTAGTTGTTGAATAATTGATGTTGTCATTTGTTAACGTGAAGTTGACGGAAATGTGTTAGAACATATTTTGAAATGGTTTTTATATTTTGTATGATAATACAATGAATGCATTATTTCTGAATGTTCGCTTCTTCGTGAAACAGTCGAGAGACGAATATTTAGTTTTTTTGTAAAATAATCAATATCTTGAGGATGATTCATTTTTTAAATTATTATTAACAAAAATTAAAAGATTTCAAACCAAGTTATGTCACAACGTTTCGATTGTTAGTACCCACAATCGTCTTCGGGTGATAACTGGGTTTCAGGGTTATCAAATCAATTTATATTATATTGAACAATGGAAGTCCGAACTTATGAAATAATAACTGAAAGTATTGGAAAAGCTCCATTATCTTCATGAAAATCATATTGAATACCTATATTTGTCAATTTTCAATATATGAATACTATCCCTGTAAATGAATACTGGAAAATATTTCAGTTTCAATCGATATGTTATCTTCTTCCATATCACACCACCACCTCATCCATTCGATAATGAAAATACCTAATAAACGAATTTCATATTTGAAGATATTAAAATATTATTCTTCCTCTTCCAACATCTCTACATCCAGCATTCCTTGCAAATATTTCAGTACAGTCTCATACTTCTTATCATAGTTCTTATCTTATCGATTCTTCAATGAAGAGCTTTTGCTCACAGGAACAGAATGTCATTTAAAAATATACTTTTTTTTTCAGTTTCGCTGGTGACAGGACGGAACAAGCATTCCTACTCTTTCAAGGCATCATGATTATCTTGATGAGTGTAACTTCTCCTCTCAGTCAAGTTTGGTTGAATATTCTCTAGAATGCTTTCAAAATGTCACAGATTGCTAACGCATCGAAAAAAATGGAAAGGATACACAGAGAGATAGCTTTAAGTACCCTGAAAATTGTAAAAGTAGTTATGAATTAAAATTTATACTTTGTACAAAATAAGTTCTTGAATGATTATCACCTATCATTATTGGTAGGTTGTTATTGTAGTGCAACTCTATGAATTACTGTTTCCTGAGGTTCAGTAGTATATTGATGCCAATGGGGGTCACAAAAACTATCTGTTACAGGTGATTTTCAAGAGGTGTTGAATTATTTGAAAACTGAAAATATATTCAGAAATACTAGGTACGAAATATTTGGGGTTGTTAGTTGAGAAGTAAGAAGAGAATCAAGATAATGGGGAGTAATCCTACAGTTTGAATAGAAAATAAGAAAAATGAAGGTATGAAAGAGCTGATCAGTGAGGAATACGAAGTTTACATAAATGAGGACCGATCAATAGTAGGCACCATTTAGGGTGATATTGTAAATGTANACCGATAAATTCCATATTGGACTTCAGGTATACAACCTCAGGTAACAAATTTCAGTATATAAGGATTAACCAGACTAGACTAGGTATCATTTTTCTTCTCCTGAGGATGCTAACTTTATTGGCGAAACGCGCGTCGAGTGCAAAAATATCAGTTTGGTGTTAGGGCAATTGATCTCGAAAAAAGTTATTTAACATTCAAATGTGAGGACTGCGATGCAAAATATTATGGACAGACTGAAATATCTAATAAGTAACACCCAGCACATCTGAAATATGGATGAACAGGAAAATCAATAGTCACCTATCATATTTTTCAACAAGACCATCACATGGACTCAAGTTCATTAGGATTAGTTAGATAAGTTAGCAACAATAGGCATCAAGATACCTACGAGAGTGTAGAAATAAGTGAACATAATAATATTATGAATAACGATGGTGAACCAATACCTAATAGTATACTATACAGCTTATTGAAGTAATATTTTGATCATCAGATTTTCCTAAATATTACATAGGCATAAGGCAACAATGTGAAATTAATTTAGGATAATTAAGACGCAGGTACCTAGTAGAGGTATATACGGTCTTGAATATGATCACTTGGTGACCAAAACACGTCTCGAGGTGTTGAAATAACGGTTTGGTGTCGGAAAAAAACTCCAGTGATATTCGCTATTCTGATCATTCATTATTCGATTCCGATTTAAGAGCCACAGGTATATATCTATTCCAGCCTATTTGGCATCATGAGTAATGGAAAGGCGGTCCTCCATTGAAGACAAAATGTGTAAAACCAAGAACGATATTCATGAAGATAACTGCGTTAAAGCAATATATGCATTTGTGGAACCACCTATTGGTTTGACACTCAAGTTAGCTTGCCAAGTTCTTAGGTCGGTGTTGATGTTTTGACCAATCAAGTGACAACTGCATTAGTGAAAATTCGGAAAGCTTTCATGAAATTTCATCGAAAAACGAGTTGAGATGTTTGTAGAAATGATATGAAATTAGGAAAGGTTAATGCACTCAAGCTGCTGGATGATAATTTCATGGAATATAAAGATGGGTACTATTCTGATCATTCACAATTCAATTCACAAAACATATCAGTCCACAGGGAAACAGCATGGTAACTGCAGTTGCTAAGGGGCCCACTAGCAACTTCAAAATTGATTTCTGCAACATCAGAGGATACAACTCAAATATAAACTCAGTGCACTATCATCTGCAAACAAATAGTCCTCATATTCTTGCACTCACAGAAACCAAAGTCAGTGCAACAACTAATCCTGTCAATTTTCTATATCCCGGCTATGATTTCCAATCCCGATTCAGACGTTATTTTGGAATATGTATTTTTATCCGAAGTCACAAAAACTATCTGTTACAGGTGATTTTCAAGAGGTGTTGAATTATTTGAAAACTGGAAATATAATCAGAAATACTAGGTACGAAATATTTGGGGTTGTTAGTTGAGAAGTAAGAAGAGAATCAAGATAATGGGGAGTAATCCTACAGTTTGAATAGAAAATAAGAAAAATGAAGGTATGAAAGAGCTGATCAGTGAGGAATACGAAGTTTACATAAATGAGGACCGATCAATAGTAGGCACCATTTAGGGTGATATTGTAAATGTAAAGAAGACTTTTTTTCATGAACGAAAAAAAAATGGAAAACCTACAACAGAGATCAAGAGAAATATTGGTAAAGGAATGAAATAAAGCATGAATATTTTTCCTTTTTTTTTGGCACAAATTTTCTTGATCATTTGTATACCATTTTCATTCTGATGATACTGTTTAATATTCTTTCATTCAATTTAATTCATTCATGTTCAATGCAGGTGAAAACCGTCTGATAGCATATTTGAAACCAAATTTTAATATCAATAATTTCAATTTCTTTCGTGATTCTGATATTCCTTTCATTTATTGAAGACTTTATGTGGATATTCTGGTCCTAGTATTTCAACTTCTGCATTCATTGTCCTTTTCTCATGTTTCAAATCTGTCAATACTTTTTCCGGGAATTCGAACCCTTAAAATCAATGGGTCTGTTATTCGATCTTCTGAATTGTCGAAATAGCGAATCACAGAAAATAAATTGCTTCAAAATGCTCAGCAGATAGTCAGAATTACCTCTTGAATTCGGTCAACTAGTCTTTCAGCAACCAACCACAGCCTGACGAAATGAAGCCCCAACAACTATCAATAATGATATTCTCAATAATATATTGCATGTAGATGCATTTCACAGCTATGATCAGAAATTGGCCTCGTCCGTTATCAAAAAGTTTCATAAAAATTATCACGAAAAATGAGAAATAACACTTCTATAAAATGTTGAACTGGTTTTTCGGGTATTTGATTCGTGGTATCACCGGTTTCGTGATATTGCCCTTGCCCGATATTGATGATCGGCAATACCCTGAAACCGGTCTATCGGGTATTTCTGCCTTCATATGCAGGAAGTGAATTGCGACGAATCTCATGAATGAAAGAGTCCTCCATTGAAGACAAAATGTGAAAAACCAATAACAGTACTTGATTATTCTAACACTTCGACACGTGTTTTGATCACCAAGTGATCACTTCCAACAGAAAGTTTAAATAAATATACATACATTGTTAACCTTCTTTATACAATAGATACCTCTGCTAGGTACCTGCGTCTCAATTGTCTAACATTCAAATAAAGATGAGATTGGAACCTGTGGTGTGAATAACACATAATTGGTGAAAACAATCTGAAACTGATTAGGCATATGCATGACACCAGGCTACTCGATGCATGTGAGAGTCTAGAAATAGCAAAATGTAAGAACAGCATGAATGGCGATAAGGGACCCATCCCGTTTAGCCTAGTGCAACAACTAATCCTGTCAATTTTCTATATCCCGGCTATGATTTCCAATCCCGATTCAGACGTTATTTTGGAATATGTATTTTTATCCGAAGCGACCCCACCTGTCAACGAGAGGAAGTGCTGGAACGCCAATACTTTGATGTTATGTGGTTCAAAATGATATAACAGAAGATCACTGAATTAATATGCTGCGTCTATCAACCACCAAGCGATACACAATATAGATCATGATTCTCCATACTTGCAAACACCATTGATTTTCTGCAAATCATTCATACCAGTGCAGAAATTTCCAAATTCGTTGACTTCAATTTCCACAATATCGAATAACTCAAATTTTCAAATATCAACGACGAACTAGTTAACTAAGTTACGGCTTCCGCAATAAGCAGCGGACTTACTCAGATTATAAATGAGCCAACCAAGAATCCTGACCCTGATGGGGAAAATGCTAGTCTTCTGGATCTATAACTAACAACCAATTTAGAAATTTACACAGTCACCATAAGGTTTCCATTGGAATCTTCTAACCACAAATTCATTTCAGTGTTGAGTGAACCACTGATAAATGTTGGGGAACAATTCAAGCCTCACAAAGTTTGGCATTACAGTTTTTCCAGAATTTCCCTTGGCTAGATGTTCGCTTCAGTCCTAATGATCCATTAACATGTGCTTCTGGAGTCACGAAAGATATTCCTTCATCCATAGGTGCATAAATTTCTTTTTAAATGAAACGAAATTCTAACGGCAAACATTTGTTCACCATAAATTGCAGTGGCGCAAAAATCTCACTGTTGAAAATGGAACTAGGTTTGTAAATGCTCGCAACAACTCCAAACTCAAAATGAGTTAAAGCATAGGACTTCACAATTATATAATTAAGAATAAACTGCTCGTCAATCCCAACCTGTCTTGATTCTTCTGGTCGGTAGCTGAAGCTGTTAATCAAATCTTCACGAAATACACAATTCCATCACTAACACAAAGGCAACAACAGCCATAGAAAAAGCAAATCGACTTGTTGAACAATTTGCGTTCCACTCCACAATCCATTTTCTGGGAAAGGCACCACCCACTATTCCCACATTATAATCCACAATTCCGGATATTACTTTTCGACAACGTCTATTCAGGCGAATTTTAAAACAGCTCAATATCAACAAGACAGATGAAGTGTCTGATGAAGTGCCCATCAACATACTAGAAGAGTGCAGAAATGAACTCGCACCAGTATTTTGCAGACTTTTTAACCTGTCTTACAAGAAAGGGAATTTTCCTTCATGTTGGAATATTGCTAGCGTTCAGCCTATTCCAAAAAAGGACAAGCAAAATTTTTCAAACAACTATAGACCAGTTGCTTTGCTATCAATAATATCAAAAATCATAGAGAAAGCCGTGAACTAACATTTCCTTGAATATTTGGAAGGCTTTAACTTTCTTGAGCAATCCACAATATGGCTTTCGGAAACAAAGATCGACAGGCGAACTTTCATCGTATGTCACTCATATTTGGACTAACGCAATCGAGAAACATGGAATGTCAAGACATGTTGCGCTCGATATTTCTGAGGCCTTTCTCCGTATGTGGCATGAGGGTTTGCTGGCCAAACTTCAATGCAATGTCTTGTCGGACCACATTTGTGTATGGCTCTCCAGCTGACGACACATCTTCACCGGCACCAGAAGGATGCATATCATAACGAGGTTCTAGAGGTGATTTCAAATTGGAGTGAATGTTACCAGGTATAATTCA